TTAATACTTGATCACTACCCTATTCTTATCAATACAATTCTCCACCTCACTATATTAGGAAAAAAACTAATCTGAATCAGTGAAGCAGTTTTCTTTGTGTGAAGAAAAGAAATAGTGAGGGACTATTTCAGGTTTGCACTTGGATATGAAACTTGGTCAAGGTGTAAAGCTGAACAGAAAGTACCAAATCCCCATTCTACCAATGAGTATTATTAGCACTGGTTTACTTCTTGTTTGAAATCTTGCACACTGTTTTACTCTGGCTATTCATTGCAAAAAAATAATGCTGGACATTTTCTTAAACTTCCAAACTCTTACAGAGCTTGTCTGAAACATTCAAGAATGACACATTGTAATCCCAGAAGGGTTTTAGTTTTTTAATCTTCCATGAGTTAATAGTCAAAGTTCACTTCAAACTTAAAGTTTGAAAAAGTGCAAGACTTACAGATTGGAGAGAGAATTGCCTGAAGAACACTGCACTAAAGTTAACTACCTATCATATTTACGTTCCTCATGCAAGCCAGCAAAAAGTTTTGTTCCCTTGTTGACATCCAGTCGAGCTTCTCAAGATCCAGTTTAAACAAAATTTCAGTGGGCTTGTAGGAATTAAGAAAACCCTTGAAGTTTTAGCGGGCACCTACAGAACTTTTAAAAACCATCTTGAAAAATGGATCACTTAGTCAATAAAATGAATGATAATTCATACCAGAGATAATTAGGATTTACATTGAGGTAGAAAGGTCTTGTACTGCTTATTTCAAAGAGTCATGGAAATAAGCGTGCTTTTAGTGGTTAGTGTGAACAATCTGCGACGGCCTAAAATTGGATACAAATATTGTTATAAGTTGAGTTGTGTTGTATTGTTAAATCTAATCATTGAATTAGCATCTGTCACCACCCCAGCCAAACCTTCCTTGAAACCTGTGCTAAATCTGGACAACATTGTTAAATGACATTAAATATTTATGTTAGTCTTCTTTTGTTTTGATTGACATTTCCAGAAGATCATCACGGAGAAGTTTTTGAATTGTAAAATTAAGTGCACACATTCTTTGCTCATGTTTTTGCTTGGGAGAAAAAAATAGTCTCTCCCCATCTAGAAAGGATGGATAGACTAGATGGCTTTTTATCTTGAAATGAAAAGGCTGATGAATGACATAATAAAAGTTGTTAAAATTATGAAAAATTTTGAAAGTGTAGACACAGAGCAGCTGTTTCCACTTTTTGTGTGAAAGAGCAAAATTAGAGGCCAACATATTAGATGGTCACAAAGAAATTAAATGACAATTCATAAGAAACCACCTTGCCCAGAGAGGGTGAGAATGTGGAATTTGTTATCATGAAGTAGTTGAAGCCAACAGTATAGAATAAACACATGTGCAAGGAAGCTACATTAGTGCTTGGGGAAGAAGAGCATAGAAAGCTATGCTGAATCAAGAGGTTTCAGTAGAGTATAAGTGCAATCTGGGACTGTTGAATCTCATGTCTTGCTTCTGAGTTACATTTTCTGTTTTAGGGATGGTCAGTTATGGTACATACTTCAGCTGGAAATAAGTATTTGTATTCCAACACACCAAAAACTTGATTGCATTTCACTTCATGTTTTATAATTAATTCTGTTTAAAGTATGATTCTGTAATATCCATTTTAAAAATTATTGAAAGCCAATTTTATTTCAGTTCATATTAATCTCCTACTTTTAGTAAAGGAATGGAAGAAATATAAACTAACGTAATTTGGAAGAGAAGAGTTAACTTACATTATTGTTGTACACAATTTTTTCACTTAAGTTGTTTCACAGCAAATAAGAGCTATAATCTGTAGCATAGTAGTACAAAACCTGAATATTGTTGAAGGACATGTCGCCAAAACTTTTTATCTGATACTCGGGCCAAGCACAGGAATACTAAATTTCGCACAACTAACCATTTAGACTGCAGGAGAAAGGGTGCTGATTGGTTAGCATATCAACACTGGTGAGACATTGCCATGGCAAAAGCCACAAGGAAGGTGGCTCATTTACGTTGGCTTGAAGTAACCTATGTTCACATATAGGGACCCATCTCTGCAAAACTAAAGAAGTATGTTCACAGAACAAGCTGGAGAAGCTTAGCGGGTGAGGAAGCATCTGTGGTGGGAGAAACACAGTTAATATTTTGAATCCAAAGAAGTCACATTCGTTTGTTTCTATTTCACCTCCCCATCCACAGCGCTTTGCTTTTTTTAAAAATGGGATATATTCAATTCTTATGTTTTTTGAATCACTTGGAATGTTGGGATGCCTATAATTCTTCTTACTCTGTGGCATTGCTTCAACCCATCAGTTAACTTGCCATCCAATCCGCATTCCCTTTCTCCTGTGGCATAAATTGTGATCAGTTGAAATTTGGCATCCTTGCATTTGACCTGATGAGTGTGAGAAAAAGCTTTGACAGCGTGTTTCTCTCTTCAGTGTTAGATAATTATTAATGGTAATCATTTTTAATAACAGTACACTCTCACTATGACCCTCTAGAATATCGGTAAAAAGCTTGTTTTACCAAATTCTCTGATTTACCCATTTGTTGTTTGGGTACTTCCAAACAGAGGGTGCTGTGACCTTTTGGCAGCTATTGGAGAGTTGAATGATCAAATTTCTTGATCTTGCAAAATTATCAGGAGTCAATTGTGCTTGTGAGATTTAAGGTCGTATTGTTGATTTGGAATACATTTTTAACGAAGAGCTGAAGTCTACAAATTTCAAGCGTTATTAATTTTTCACTTAGACCAATATTGTTTATCACAGTAACAAGGCTATAATGCACGTCAGAAAATTAGTTATCAAATCCATGTACATTGATTTTCAGTATTCCTATTAATGTTTGACTCCTAAGCTTTATTTGGAAATAAAGCACACTTTCCATCTAATTTGCAAACTAATTTGAAGTAAACTATTGATAAATCATCATAGTTTAGATTAGTGACTGGATAGAATTTTGTAGCTGTTGACAGTTTGCAACGTTTATTAACTAGAAACTACATTCATAAGTATGGCAGAGAAAGGCTTCGCTTGTGTCTTCTTCCATCAGGTCTCAGTCCCACATGATTAGCTTCTTCATTACATAATTCGTTCCACACATGCTCAGGAGCTACTGTTATTGCAGTTGACCATTAACTCTATAACTACTGGTAAAGACGATGAGTGGTGAAGAAGACTTGGTTATAAGAGTTAAAGACAAAGTAATGTGAATGCTAGCAATCTGAAACAAACACCCAATGCTGGAGAAACTCATCAGGTCTGGCAGCATCTGTGGAAACATAAACGGAGTTAATATTTTGAGTCTGGTATGACTCTTCAGAACAAAGTGTGGTTGTGTGGGAGCTAAGTCTTCAATGTTGTTAGGTGTTCAGTGGTGTTCCAGTCTCTTGATCTAATAATGAAGAAATGTTGATTCTTCTACCCAAATCAAAATAATAGCTGAAGTGGACTGGAGATAATGTCCCATCATGTTGCTATTTTTTACTTTAAAGTTGAAAGAGGATGAGGTCCGTTAGAGTAAAATTTTGTGAATTGTTAAGGTGTCATCATATATGTACTATAATCAGTGTAACTGAGATGGATATAGAGTCCAAAAGCCATCAGTCAAATTAAGCAGTTATCTTAGATGTTGTCAATGATGTACTCAAGTGATTGGTGAGTATGATATGAGAATTTGGTGGCAGAGGAGTGGGGATAATAAGTTTACAGATGATACTGATTGGGTGGTTAGTAATGAAGATGATCTTAGGTTACAGACAGATATAGATGGGTTGGTCAGAAGGGCAGATCAGTGGCAGATAGAATTTAGCCCTGAAAAATTGATGCACTTTCAAAGCAATAACAAAACCAAAGCATACTCCATGAATGGACAGTAGGAATCTCTGAGGAACAAAGGTATCTTGGGAGTACTTGTCCCCAGATCCCTGAATGTAGCAGGATAGGTTAATAGGGTGATTAAGAAGGTATATGGGACACTTGCCTTTATCAGATGCGGCATAGGTTATAAAAGCGGAGAGGTTGTGTTGGAGCTGTACAGAACTTTAGTTAGGCCACAGCTAGAGTTCTCTGCAGTGTTGGTCACCACACAGCAGGAAGGGTGGGATTGCATTGGATGGAGAGGAGATTCACCAGGATGTTGCCTGGATTGGAGCATTTTAGCAATGAAGAGAAGCTGGATAGGCTTTGGTTTTTTTCCAAAAAAAGAGAAGGTTGAGGTAGGGTCCTGAGTGAGGCATATAAGGGGCATGGACAGGATGGATCAAAAGTAGTTATTCCCCATAGTTTAAGGATCAGTAAACAAGTGGGCATAATTTGACGGTGAAGTGCAGAGAGCTTGACAGGGAAAAATGTTTTCATGTGGTGGGTATCTGAAATACACTGGGTAGATAGTAGAGGCAGGACACCTCACAACCTTTTCAAAAAGTACATGGATGAACACTTGAAATGTCATACTATTTAAGGCTATGCATCACATGCTGGAAAATGGGATTGGTATAAAGAAGTGATTTTTCTTTTGTCAGTGCAGACTTGATTTGCTGAATGGCTTCTTCTGTACTATATGACTTTACCGACACTTGCATGAAGTGAGTCTGATAGATGGCAAAGAAACTTTCAGCAGTCAGAAAATAAGCTACCTGTTGCAGAGTACCCTAAGATCTGTCCTGCATTTGTAGTCGTAATGTTAATATGTCTCCACGTTCTGGCCTGCATTGGTCTTTCAGGTTTTGATCATGGGGTTATTGTGATGGTTGTGCTGTTGAAGGACATGGGAATGTTGCTGAACTTTCCCTCGTTCAGTGTGATCATTAGCTTGCAATTGGATGGCACACAAATTTCCAACCAATTTTCAGCCCAAAATAAGCTTAATCAGGTTTTTGTAATTGACTGCTTATGCTTCATTTGTTGTTTTCATGTGCTATTAGAAGCTTTCCCATTTGTTTTCCATGTAATTGATTCTTTTATTAATGCACTTATTTTTCAGACTCAGCCTGAAGGTTCCTTTACGCTCAGCAGCCCTAGGTGGGTGTCCCAGTGGGCGCATTTAGCTGCTAATGATGTGACGCCAGCAACATTCGGTACTCATGACCGAGGTAACTACCCACCTGACGATTAATTGCTATGTGTCCACTTGTTAATAATCCTGAAGATTGGTACAATAATCAGTTTTACTTTGCAGTTCTTTCGCACATTTTTTTGGTGAAACTTTGTCACTATGAAAGATTTGATCAGTGTCAGTGTGACAGGAAAAGGGGAGGTGCAATGAGACCTAGGTGTCCAAGTACACCAATCACCTGAAGGTAAACATGCAGATGCAGCAGGTGAAGAAGCCAAATGGTACATTGCCTTTCATAGTGAAAGAATTCAAGAACAGGAGCAGGGCTGTCTTACTGTAACTGTGCAGGGCTTTGAGACCATCCCTGGAATATTTTGCACAAGTTTTCCTAGAATCCTAGAACCCCTATAGTGTAGAAACTGTTCATTCAGCTGGAGCACCCAAAGGAAACCCATGCATCCACCAGGAAAACGTGCAGACACCACACACAGAATTGAACCTGAATCCCTGGCACTGTGAGGCAGCAGTGCTAACCGCTGAGCCACCTGGGGGAGGATGTTCTAGCTATGGAGGGAGTGCAACAAAGGTTTCTCAGAAACCAAAATCAAATCCAAAGAGAAATTCAGTGGACAAATTGTTCAGTTTGCTCCTGTTTAATGTGGTTGTGCATCTTTTGGCTAGCTGAAGAACACCACAGATCCATATATTAGGGTCCTCATCTTTTCTGTAGGAAAATCAGCATGGCTCATACAGCAGAGAAAATACTATCTTAAAAATAGATGAAATTGAAGTGGGAAGCGCTATAATTAATGAATGTCTTGTATATTTTACAAAGCATTAGGCTAACAGTACTAACTTTTAAGATTTAACTGTTTTTCAGAATAACATTTGTTTTATAGAAATCTTCATTTTATGCATGACAATACTGAGGAGCAAAGTACCAAATAAATCTTTGATATGAAAGTCTTAACCACTGTGTTTGCATTTAATTGGATTTTCTGTGGAGTTGCTGCTTATGCTTAAGAGCCAAAATGTTTTTTCATATTGTGAACCAATTACTTCCTACCAGTAACTAAATTGACTTTTTTACCTGTGTCCCTCCCACACCAAAAATGATGGTTTGCTTTCCCTTGCCATACTATAAATGATTTGGTGTATATCTCAGTCCCACTTGCTGCAGGAATTCCGTAGTGACTCAAACATCAGCTATTTAATTTCATTCATCTTAATTTTGTGACCCATTGTTCCTGCTTCAAATTGAAGGTAAACTAAAACAATCTTGTCAGATTTTTGAAGCAATTTGGTCAAAATGGCACCTTTAAAATTAATCTGTTTCTATAATAAAAACTATACATGTACATGGATGTCAACATAGCACAATGGGGAACTGTATCAACATTTTAAAACAATACTACTTAGCAATATTGAAATTTGTTTATCTACGCAGAAGGATTGCAAAATAAAGGAGAATGGACTGTTCTGTGGTACCAAGGTATTTCAGACTGGGTGACTGTGGAATATCTCCACTTGGTCCACAAGCATGACCCAAACCTTCCAGTTGCTTGCCATTTTGAACTAATACCTTTATCATCTTGCAAATCAGTATAATGGGTTTTGAAGAAGGGTCTAGACCTGAAACGTCAGCTTTCCTGCTCCTCTGATGCTGCTTGGCCTGCTGTGTTCATCCAGCTCTACACTTTGTTATCTCAGTATAATGGGTTGATGTGTTTGGGAATTATTTTAAGTTAGGAGGTTCTATTTGTCTTTTATTTGTAAATTTAATTTTGGATGCATCTGTCTAAGGATATTTTATACTGGAGTGTAATTATTTAGAACTTTATTAGTCAGATGAGATTGTGGTTAGAAATTTTGTGTGTTATATGATTGGCAAGTAGAAAATACTGAAACAAATGAAGCAGCCATTCAGCAGAGCACATATCTGCCATACTGTTAACACAAATATTGTGTTATAAAACAACCTTTCCCTACTTAACTGATTCTCTAACTACAAGAGCATTAATCTCACTGAGGAGGCTACATGCCAATCTGCATCCAACAACCTGCACTAAAAGTTCTGGTCATGATTTGACAGTTGTGACAAATTCCACCACAGCATCTGGGACAATCTATTGTATTCTAAAACAATCAGAAACCTTCTAAATAAAACAATTGCAATGTTCCATTTTTAAAGAAAGTTTAATTCACCTGTGATGTTGACACATCTTTTAAAAATTTCAAGATCTGGATCTGCATCTTCGGAAATGAATCAATTCTTGGCCCGTGTCTCACTTGTGCATAAGTTTTGTTGAAATTTGTCCCATTAGGTTTTAAGATTATTATTTATATCTGAGTAGAATAACAGGCACAAAAACATTACCTCTGCCATTCAAGGTGAGCAGAGATAATAAATCATATGAAACAATATGAGAGAAAAGGCCCTACTATAAAAAGAGAAGAAAATCAAAAGACATAATGTATATGACAGTGCAAGAAGTTTATTTTGCAGATAATTCAGCTTACCTTTCCTTTTTAAAAAGAAAATTGGTTAATTTTGAAATTAACTGGCAGAATTATGTGGCTGTTTCATTAAACAGTTACTAAATCTTTAACTGTCATGCCTCCTGATTAGTAGCCAGGATTAATCCAAAAATAAATTTTTGGCAAATACACTTAAAGACATCATCCCACTGAAAGGCGAAGACCATTATTTTCACCTCATGGTGTGGTTGTGGTAGGGAAGGTCCAATGATGGTTATTTTCCTGAGATTATACTGGGATTTTTAAAAATGTTAAATTCATTGCAATATAAAATTATTTTGTCTTACTAGATGCAGACATTAGTGAAACTGGTATCTCAGTAAAAACCACATCAGAAACAGCCAGTGTAGCAGAGAGAAAGAGACGAACACTTCCTCAGCTTCCAACAGAGGATAAAACAGCCGAAGGCCTAAGATCAAAAGGTTCCTTTACTTTAAACCTATCAAAATCAAGACGTGAGGTAGATGAAAAGCAAGACACTGAGCTTCCTGAAAAAGAAACTACAACTCCACCTCATCAGAAGGACAAACAAAAGGAGCACACCAGCAGCATTTCGAAGACAGGCAGGTCAAAGAGTGGCTCTGCTATCAAAGGTGATAGTGCTGGAGATATTTGCAGTGAAACAGTGAACAACAAGGAAGGTGCAGTGTTTCAGTCCAGCAGCTGCACTCAGATTACTAAAGCAAAAGCTGAGACTATCAAGGGAATACCAGGAACAAGGCTGTCTTCACCTACAACTCAACAGGGCCATAAAGAGAGTTTGTACCAACAGGGCTCTTCTAAAACATCTACAAGTAAGCCTCTGGTTAACACTACTAGTCAAAGTGACAAAAGCAGAGAAGTGTCACCTAGGCAACTGGCCTCGCACAAAGCTGATATACGGGAATGCAGGCAAACGCCTGCGATGGGCACTTTTGACAAAGCAGAGATGCGAGTTGAAATAAAACAGAAGAAGTCAGAAGAGTCTGTCAGAAAACAGACTCCTAAAAGTGGGGACACAGAAAGAAAAGATTCTCCTAGGCCTTTGGTCAGACAGGGAAGCTTCACCATTGAAAAACCAAGTAGTAATGTGCCGTTAGAGCTTATACCTCGGATTAGTAAGCAGTCTGGGTCACCAGGTGAAACATCTGTAACCACACGGAGCAGGGAGCGAAGCAGTTCTAATGGGACAGAATCCACAGTTGACACCACAATTTTATTAAAGGATACAGAATCTGTAATGGCTTTTCTTGAGGCAAAACTGAAGGATGAGAACAAGCTTGATGGTGGCGATGAAACCCCAAGCTACCATAGGGATGATTCCATCTCCCCTGAATCCGATGTTGACACTGCTAGTACTATTAGCTTAGTTAGTGGAGACGCAGAAAAGAAGTCTCTTCAAAAGCGAAGAACTCTAAGTAACCTTCACAAGGAGAAGAGTTTCACAAAATCGCCTAAGGATTTGTCAAAGACAATTGCAACCAATGCTAAAGACAAACTTGCAGACATGAAAACTAAAGGTCGTGCTTCTGACCTTGGTGTTAGATCCGAACCTCGCAGGCCTGTGCAAACCACTGGCAGAGCAAGACAAGCATCTTTTGACTTGACAGATGATGACCAAACATCAAGTTTTCCTCAGTCCACTATCTCAGATTTTCTTTCTTCAGATCAAGAAACATATTCCAGCAGATCACAAGGTAGAACATCATTTACGTCCACAGATGAACTGTTACATTCCAAACTGGAAGGCAATAAATTATCCAAGTCAAAAACTGCTGCTATTAGTTCAGCTAGCAAATCAACAGCCTTGCCCAAGCCTCGGCCAACCAGAGCATCTATCTTACGTAGGGCACGCCTTGGTGATGTATCAGATAATGAACTGGCAGATGTTGATAAAGTTTCAGTAGTATCTGAAGTATCCACAACCAGTTCAACTACATCAAAACCACCTTCGGGCAGAAAAACACCCTCTAGATTAGATCTCCTTGCCCAACCACGACGTAACCGGCTAGGTTCTATATCGGCTCGCAGTGATTCTGAAGCAACTGTAACTAGGAGTAGTGTTAGTCGAAGTGGAGACTCTTCTGTTCGGAGTAACTTGCGTGGTATGTCAACCATGGATAGCAAAGCTTCTCCTAGACTTCGTGCTAATAGCATTTCAAGAATGCCTGATTCTTCTAAAGTTAAAGCATCAATAGCAGGACACTGTTCTCCATCAGGTAAACTCCATTCAATTCTAATGAAAACTTTTGGGAATTGGTCAAATGGGAGAAGAAACGATCTGTACATAGTAACTTTTATTCACTATTATACTGCTTGTGTCTTTTCCACTTTGAAAATGATATCTAAGCAAAAACTTCAATTTTTAACAAACATAGCAGAGAAGATACTTTTATTTGTATCTGTTTTAAAATATTTTCTCCTCTTTGCTAAGGTGTTTAATTATTCAATGTGGCATAATTTTGCATTTTGTTGCATGCTATGATTATCTAAGTATTGTTTTTTGTTTTATTTTATATCATGGTAGCTAAGTAATTTGGGATTCATGTTTGGAGATACTTTGTAATCGTGTTTCCATGATCGAACTGTAGGGAGACATGATTGTAACTGCTTTTTTTTTTTTTTTTTTTTTTTTTTTTTTTT